TATCGGCTAGCAATGGGCTTGGGCTGTTACAAATGGTATCAGAGCCAAGCACCAGGCGATGTGCCATCGAGGAGGCTAAAAGCCCCGAAGGAGGGTAGACATAAGGCAATGTGCCAGCAAGGACGCTGGGGCCTGGAGGGGGTGGATTTGGTGGGGGTCTCACATCGATTGGAGAGAGGAACGAGTGCCAACAAGGACGTTGGGCCTCGAAAAAGGTGGATTGTAAGATTCCACATAAGTTGGGAAGGAGAACAAAACACCATTTATAGGGGTGTGGGGCAAGCCCAAAGAGGACAATATCGGTCACATGGATGAGGAACTTTAGACTTAGAAGCAAGGCAAAAGATCCCAAGTAACAGAAACTATAACACAAGTAGAAACAAATTGAAGAAACTAAACCATGGGTAATTGTACCTCATCATCAGCATGACCAATAATCGCCGGTCCCCAAGAACCCACATAATCAACATATTCATTACCGTCAATATCCCACATGTGGGAACCCTTAACAGAATCGATAATTATTGGTTGTCCACCAACAGATTTGAAGGCACGAACAGGGGAATTCACTCCACCAGGCATAAGCTCCTGCATACAATTTTGAAAAGCGTTCAAAACTATTTTCACCATCAGGACGTCGAACGTCGAACAAATCACAACAAAACCACAAATTGCGCTTTACAATAAAAATCTGATCGCACTCCTAGGTCATTAAAATCGCCACTAGGGAATCAGAATCACAGACCATGGAATTCAAATCGAATTCTCATCCTCAATCAAACATATCTAAACCCAGACTGAAAACCTAATGCGAACAGAGAAAAAGCCACCGATTACAAAAGAGGAGTTTCACCAAACAATTGAAAGATTCCATGGATGTGGAAGGATAAAAGTGAATGAAACCAAGAAATGTACCTTGGCAGCATTGAAAGCCTCTTCAGATTTGTTGAGAGTGAAATTCTTCTTCTCATCGAAAGTGACGGCCATTTTGACACGGCCAAAACGAGCGGACCGTGAAGATGTACGAGATAACCTAGTGGCGCATGGAAGGCCGATTCCGACGAAGCCAGCAAGAGTGACAGCCATTTTCTCCCTGTAAACTGTGTTAAAAAAAGATGGAAGAAGATAAGAGAATGTATATATAGACCACGTCAGCCACCTTTATAATTTTATTTGAATTTTGTAAGTGATATGATGTCTTAAATGCAAATGAAAATAGCATGTACTATATGTACGGTATGTTACTGATAAAGATGCGTGTTAATACTATGTTAAGAATGATGTTTTGATATTAAAAATGATAAATCGAGGTGAGATTGAAAGTACAAAAATATTTTCTATTTTGATATATTTAGTAAAAAAACACAAGAGGTAAATAATAGTATACCCATTGAAATTAATATTGACTATTGGATTGTGTTAGAAATAATGAAAGGCGAAATTAAAAGTAAATAAATAAGAAAATTTTCTAAATTCATTTATTTAAATTTTTTAATATAATAATAATATAATAAAAATAAAAAGTTATGTGAATAACAGTAAAATGAAAATTCAAAATTTATTATAAATATAATAATAATAAAAGCTACGTGAGTACCTACCAAAATTTTAAAATATAATAATATAATAATATGATAGTAATAATAAATATCGATGAGATGAGAGTAACGATTAAATTCAAATTTATATTTTGTAAAAATAATTTTATTTAGAAATATAATAATAAGAAAAACTCCACCGTCTTCCAACATTATAAATGTCATACTTTTATATATTTTGATTTATTCATCATTTTGATTTTGCTGCCACATCATCACGTTGGATATGTTGTCTCAGACTCTAATTTCTTCGTTTTAGCTCTAATTTGAGTAATTGAAAAGTCGTTGTAATCATTATTCCCGACCTTATACTGTGGACAGTTCAAAATACTTAAAGTAGTTAATAATTAAAAATAGGTTTGTTATCATCAAAACATCAATCAATTAATTGATTGAAATTAATTAAAATGAGATTAAGGGCCAAAAAGCCAACAATAAATAGGCTGCCAATGAAATTAGTAGACGGACTTATTTGACCGAGAGCGAGTCTTACATATGAGTCCGAAAATTCTAGATAAGCATATCGAGAGAGAGTCAGTAACCTAAACTGGAAGTAGCTGAGATACCTCGTTAATGAATAGATGAACCTAACAAGTGAAACTAGTAGTCAATGGGTATAAAACTTAAAAACACGTGAAAGATTAGTTATGAACTCATGAAAGAAAAGCTGGCTACGTAATAATTTAATTACTCATCAAAATTATTTAACTTTTCTTTCCAAAGTTAGTTGATACAGACTAACCAAGGACGAGGACGAGACCAGCGGGCTAGAGACTATTGAGAATTCATGTTTGTGTCTGTTCTGTGTACTTATGCTTTAGCTGTCAAGAATTTACTTGGGACGAGACTAGCGGACTAGAGACTATTGAGAATTCATGTTTGGGTCTGTTTTGTGTATTTATGCTTTATATGTCAATAATTTACTTGGATTGTTTTAAGTTTTAAATGGTACTGGTTTAAATGTTTTACTGGATGGTGCTGAAAATATTTTGAAATTTATGAAAGGTTGTCGGAGTGCATTGTCGATGTCAATGGTAACTCCTGTGAATCGCGTTGACGATGAAAGAGTGTTACAAAAATGCTTCCTATAGATTCTGTGAAGTATTTGTGAAAAAAACTCAGCCGAAACCGGACTCTCGTAGCCAAATCGGGAGTGACTACTACTTCCCCTTCTCTGTATAACCTTCTTTCCCTCTCCTTATTTGAGTTCTAACATATCTCTAAATATTTGTCTGTTCTATTTCATTTCAAAATTCGTTTCTAAGATGCTCAATAAAATCTCGGAAGTTCAACTTAAAAGAAAAATTTAAATTTTAAGATTCCGACGTTCTGGTGTTACTCATTATAATCAATTTTATCTAATATTCGTATAATTATTTTATGGATGGTAGTTGAAATCTTAGTGTTTGAATTTGATAAAATATTTGGCTAAATTATGACATAAGTTAATGTTTTCCTAATTCTTACAAAAATGTTAATATCATTTACAAATAAATTTTATTTTTTAAAATTTAAAAATAAATTTTATTTTTTAAAATTTAGTTAATGATTTTAATAATTTCATTTTAATTTTTTTTTTTGTTTTTATATTTCTTTATCTGAGTTAGATTATCCTTGGTCTAAGTAAAAATTTGATTATAAATAAAAATAAATTAAAAGAGTATTTATTATTATTAAAATTTTTTTGTATAAAAATGACCTTTGTTTTCCTAATTCTTACAAAAATGTTATTTACAGATAAATTTTATTTTTTAAAATTTAGTTACTGATTAAAATTTTTGTTTTTATATTTCTTTATCTGAGTTAGATTATCCTAGTTCTAAGTAAAAATTTGATTATAAATAAAAATAAATTAAAAGAGTATTTATTATTATTAAGATTTTTGTATAAAAATGACCTTTCTTTCCTAATTCTTAATGTTATTTACAAATAAATTTTATTTTTTAAAATTTAGTTACTCATTTAAATATTTTCTTTTTAAATTTTTTTTGTTAATATCATTTAAAAATAAATTTTATTTTTTAAATTTTAGTTACTGATTTAAATATTTTCTTTTTAAAATTTTTGTTTTTAAAATATTATATTTTATCCCTTAATTTTTAAGGTATAAATATATTTTATCGTTTTTATAAGCTTCTTTGTATTTCAATATTTTATATTTTTCCCCTATTTTTTATTAATATTAATTTCTAATTAACTAATTTAAAATAATTTGATATGAGAATTTTTAAGTTTATTTCTCTAGCCACTCAAACATATAACATTTATGGAAAGATTTTATTGTTTTTTTGTTTTCATTTTGCAAGGGTCAATTGGTCAAAATTGACTTCGTCATTTGTGGAGATTAAAAGGGATCGAGATTGAATCCCGGCCACAAACGTCTTTTGTCGGGAGACTATAAATACCCACAATATGTTATGTAAAAATCAGATTCATTGATGAATGCAATTCAGATCTCAAATTGAGACGTTTCTCTTAGAAATTCGAGCATCATATTTGTCATTTCTAAGTTTCAAGCAATTCTTGTGGTAGAATTGCACCCGAGCCATTCAATCAAGCCTTGATCAAGTTAGATTGTGGAGTGACTCAATTTAGAACAAGGTTTCAAATCTTGCTTCTAGATCTTCGATCGTAAGAGGTAATCTAATTCTAGCCTTTATCTCTTGGTTGATCCAAATTTCGCATAAGGAGGTGTTAATTACTTTGATTCAAGAGTTCTTGCTAAAATAAAAGCTTAGATCATTGGGTTGAGGATTATGGTTGCCTTATCAGTTTGGTATCAGAGCGAGGTTGCATATTTGTGGCCGACTCTAGAATTGATTTTATCTTTAATTTCCGCTATTGTTTATCGTCTCTTTTAAATCTGTCATTTATTTTCTTATTGTCATTTCCAACGTTCTTCATTATCCTTCTACAAAAAAAAAAAATCCTTATCATATTGTTCTTAATATATCCTTATCATTAGACCATTTGCACGTTTATTTGAAGATCAAATAAATTTCTATTCTCATTTTTCCCTAAAGCATATAAATCTGGAATTGTTGTGTTCGATCTTCACGACCATTCTCTTTGGAGTTCATTTTTTTTCAATGTGCAATTATATCCAAAAATATCTTTGTCCCTTATTTATTTGTTCATTTTTTGTTTTATTTGGTTGTTACTACATAATTGCCTTATCAGTTTGGTATCAAAGCCTACCTTTGTGTGTATGAACACGAGTGTCATTGAGTGTAAAATCAGTGAGTTGAGTGTGTGAGGTCCTAAACATATTCCACTACTGTTTGTACAATCATGAACCAAGATGGAGGAAATGGAGGGGAGATCAATGAAGCTAGGTGGAGAAAAGCACAGATCGAAACAATTACTCGTTTGAATCAAGTTATTAGTATATTGACAGACCGGATGGAGCGAATTGAAATAGCCTTAGGTAATCTTCAAGGGAGGGAAGTACTCTTGAATGAAGGAGTTGAAAATGAAGAAGATGACAATGTCACCCTTTTAGCGGGACATAGTCTTAGGGGAGGGAGAGATATCAGTCGAGGGAGAGGAAGAGTCAGAAGAAGGGGTAGAGAAATTTTAACACAAAAAAGAATTGAGAGGGAGTACCAGTATGAGAGAGAAAAAGAAAAGGAGTGAGGGGAGTAAAGCTAAAAATTCCAATGGGAAATCTGATCCAGAGGAGTATTTGCAATATGAGAGCAAAATTGAGCATGTCTTCGATTGCAACAATTTCAGTGAAGAAAGAAAGTTGAAGCTTGCTGTGGCTGAATTTTGTGATTACGCCATTATATGGTGGACATCTTTGAAATCAGAGTGGAGGAGAAATTATGAAGAACCAATTGAAACGTGGGAGGAATTGAAGACATTAATGAGAAAAAGGTACATTCCTAAGCATTATTCTCGAATACTCAAGCAAAAACTCTATACTTTACAACAGGGATCCAAAAGTGTTGAAGAATATTATAAAGAAATGGAGACCCTTATGAATATATACTTTACAACAGGGATCCAAAAGTGTTGAAGAATATTATAAAGAAATGGAGACCCTTATGAATAGAGCATTTACAACAGGGATCCAAAAGTGTTGAAGAATATTATAAAGAAATGGAGACCCTTATGAATAGAGCATGTATTGATGAAGATGAGCAAGATACAATGGCTATATTTCTTGGTGGGTTAAACCGACAACTTGCTCATCAAGTGGATAGACAAGCGTACTTTGATATGCAAGAATTGTTACACCTTGCTGTCAAAATCAAAGGGCAACTAGCTTGGGAGAAGGAGAACTTCAAGAGGTATGGTATTTCAAAGTCTACTACTTTCAACACTTGGAAAAAGAATGCAAATATTGAAAAGTTAGATTTCAAAGTTGGAGGCAAGTATGATCTTGACAAAAAGAACAAAGCTGAGACCTCCAAGGATAAAGAGAAAGCGGAGGAATATAAGGAGATTCAAGAAAGAAATAGAGACATCAAATGTTGGAAATATCAAGGAATTGGTCATCTTAATCGTGATTGTCCTAACAAGAGAGTCATGATCATCAAGAATGGACAAGTTGTCACAGATAGTGAGAAAAGCGACCATGATAAGCTAGATGAAGAGAAAATCCAGGAGCATGAGGAGGAACTAGAAGATGGGAGTCGTTTGGTACTTGTAACCAGAAGACTTCTTAAAACTCAAGTTACAGAGAATGATGTTGATGATCAAAGAGACAACCTATTTCACACAAGGTGTTTAGTTAAGGGGACTCCTTGTAGTTTTGTAATTGATAGTGGAAGCTGCACCAATGTCGTAAGTGAAATGTTGATCAAAAGGTTGCTAATTCCAACCCAACACCATCCTAAACCTTACAAGCTTCAATGGCTCAATGACAGTGGAACAATGAAGGTAACTTCTCAAGGTTTAATATCTTTTACTTTAGGAAAATATAAAGATGAAGTTCTTTGTGACGTTTTACCAATTACTGGAGACATATTGCTTGGCAGACCATGACAATTTGACAGGAGGGTTATGTATGATGGCTATTTGAATCGGTATTCTTTTGTAAAAGATGGTAGAAAAATCACTCTTGTGCCTTTGAGTTCGGCAAATGTATTTGCTGATCAATTAAAGTTGAAAGAAAAAAAGAAATAGTTTGAGGAAAAAGAGTTGAGTAAAAAAATAGAGATAAGTCAACGAGAAAACCATAGTGAAAAAAAAGAATGAAATTGGAGAAAAAGGAAAGAATGTGAATTGTTTGGCTAGAGTTGGAGAGGTTAGAAGGGCAATGTTCTCACAAAAAACCATCTTTGTACTTGTGTACAAGGAAGGATGTTTGGTCTCTAACGATAATAATTTTCTTTACCTAGTATGTTTCAATCTCTTTTACAGGAATTTGATGACGTATTCCAAGATGAAGTCCCTAAAGGACTACCTCCAATTAGAGGTATTGAACATAAAATAGACTTCATTCCAGGGCCGATAATTCCTAATAAGCCAGCTTATTGAGCCAGCCCAACTGAGACTAAAGAAATTCGAAGGAAAATAGAGGAGCTTATGGAGAAGGGCTATATACGAGAGAGTTTGAGTCCATGTTCTGTACCAATCTTATTGATGCCAAAGAAAGATGGAACGTGGCGTATGTGCATGGATTGTAGAGCCATCAACAAAATCACGGTAAAGTATCGACATTCTATTGCTAGGCTAGACGATATGCTTGATGAATTACATGGTTCATGTTTATTTACAAAGATTGACTTGAAATCTGGATATCATCAAATTAGAATGCATGTAGGAGACGAATGGAAAACCGCGTTCAAAACTAAGTTTGGATTGTATGAATGGCTTGTTATGCCTTTTGGGTTAACTAATGCTCCTAGTACATTTATGCGCTTAATGAATCATGTTTTGAGAGAATATTTAGGAAAGCATGTTGTTGTGTATTTTGATGATATTTTAATTTATTCGAAGACCTTGCATGAGCATGTGGAGCATGTTAAGTTAGTTTTGATTACACTTAGAAAAGAGAAACTTTATGCTAATTTTAATAAGTTTAGTTTTTGCCTGGAAAAAGTTAACTTTCTTGGCTTCATAGTTGGTAAAAATGGAGTAGAAGTAGATGAAGAGAAAGTTAAAGCAATTAGGGATTGGCCAACACCACAAAATGCAACTGACGTACGTAGTTTTCATGGGTTAGCTAGCTTCTATAGGAGATTTATAAAAGATTTTAGCACCATAGCTACACCATTGAATGACTTGGTGAAAAATAATGTTGTTTTTAAACGGGGAGATATGCAAGAGAATGCATTTAATGAGCTTAAGAATAAATTAACTAATGCACCATTACTTGTCTTGCCTAACTTTGATAAAACTTTTGAAATTGAGTGTGATGCAAGTGGTTTGGGCATAGGTGTTGTTTTGATGCAAGATGACAAACCCGTAATGTATTTTAGTGAAAAACTAAATGGGGCAGCATTGAACTATCCTACCTATGATAAAGAATTGTTTGCTTTAGTTCGCACATTGCAAGTTTGGTAACACTATTTATGGCCTAGAGAATTTGTGATCCACTCTGATCATGAAAGCTTGAAGTATCTTAATGGTCAAAGCAAACTGAACCGTAGGCATGTAAAGTGGGTGGAGTTTATTGAAACATTTCCATATGTCATTAAATATAAGTAAAGTAAGGATAATATGGTAGCTGATGCATTATCTACAATCTTTTTACTTCTCTCAGTGTAAAAATTCTTGGAGTTGAGCATATTAAAGATTTATATCGAGATGATCTTGACTTTGGAATTATTTATGCATCTTGTCTTACAAAAACAGCCGTAGATGATTATTATGTGTTTCATGAATTCTTATTTAAGAAAAGTAAGCTTTGTATTCCTAAATGCTCTATCCGAGATTTGCTTGTTAAAGAAGCGCATGGTGGTGGCTTAATGGGACATTTTGGGATTAATAAAACTTATAATATGTTGCATGAACACTTCTTTTGGCCGAAAATGAAGCATGATGTTCATAAATTTTGTAGTCAATGCTTTAAATGCAAAGAAGCTAAATCTAGGTCACAACCAAATGGATTGTACACTCCTTTGAATGTACCTAATGAACCTTGGAGTAATATATCAATGGATTTTGTTCTTGGTTTACCGCACACTAAAAAGGGTAAAGATAGTATTTTTGTTGTTGAGACAGATTTAGTAAGATGACTCATTTTATTGCATGTAACAAGACGGACGATGCAAAACATGTTGGTGACTTATTTTTTTAGGGAAGTAGTAAGATTACATGGAATCCCTAGAATAATTGTTAGTGATAGGGATGCTAAATTTCTAAGTCACTTTTGGAAAGTATTGTGGGGTAAATTGGGTACCAAATTGTTGTTTTCAACTACATGTAATTCTCAGACGGATGGACAAACTGAGTTGGTTAATAGAACATTAGAAATGCTTAGGGCTATTATTTCTAAGAATATTAAGTCTTGGGATGAATGTTTGCCATTTGTAGAGTTTGCATATAATAGAGCAATTCATAGTACAACTCATTGTTCTCCTTTTGAAGTTGTTTATGGATTTAATCCACTTACGCCTCTTGATTTGCTCCCTACTCCTAATATGTTTATGAGTGACGCAGCCACAAGTAAGACAGACTTGACCAAAACATTGCACAAGGAGTTGAAGGAGAGAATTGAGACCCAAAATTTCAAGGTTGCTTCAAGGATTAGCAAATGACGTAAGGAAATCATTTTTAAACCTGGTAATTGGGTTTGGATACATTTTCGCAAGGAGCGATTCCCATCTCAACGGAAGACAAAGCTACATCCAAGAGGGGACATCCAAGAGGGGATGACCCTTATGAAGTCCTTGAAAGAATTAATAACAATGCATATAAAATTGATATTCCCAGAGACTTTTCAGTACATTCTACTTTCAATGTTGCTGACTTAAGATGTTCAGTACATTCTACTTTCAATGTTGCTGACTTAAGTCCTTTTGATGTAGGTGATGATGTTCAGTACATTCTACTTTCAATGTTGCTGACTTAAGATGTTCAGTACATTCTACTTTCAATGTTGCTGACTTAAGTCCTTTTGATGTAGGTGATGATTTTCCTTTTGAAAATGATAAGAACTTAAGTCCTAAGAGAGGGAAGATGATGAGAACTTAAGTCCTAAGAGAATTAGAAGCTGATACAATTGGACAATTGAATATTTTCACTTCACCGTTGAAGTTGGAAAACATTAAAAATGTCAACAACACGGTTTGAACCTACACAAATTTATTTATTTAGCCACTCAAACATATCAACATTTGTTGAAAGATTTTATTGTTTTATTGTTTTCATTTTGCAATGGGTCAAAATTGACATCGTCATTTGTGGAGATTAAAGGGGATCGGGATTGAATCCCGACCATAAACGTCTTTTGTTAGGAGACTATAAATACCCACAATATGTTATGTAAAAATCAGATTCGTTGATGAATGTAATTCAGATCTCAAATTGAGACGTTTCCCTTAGAAATTCGAGCATCATATTTGTCCTTTCTAAGTTTCAAGCAATTCTTGTGGTAGAATTGCACCCGAGCCATTCAATCAAGCCTTGATCAAGTTAGATTGTGAAGTGACTCAATTTAGAACAAGGCTTCTAGATCTTCGATCAGGGGTAATCTAATTCTAACCTTATCTGGTTGATCCAAATGTAGTATAAGGAGGTGTTAATTACTTTGATTCAAGGATTATTGTTAAAATAAAAGCTTGAATCGTTGGACTGAAGATTAAAGTTTCCTTATCATGTACCTATTTCATATTGAGATTTGTTGTTTGTTTATGTAAAAATTTAAAATTTTTGTTTTTATATTTCTTTAAAAAAATATTTCATATCAGTTGAGATTTCTTATTTTCTTTCTTTTTATATAAAAAATTGATTATAGATAAAAATAAATTAAAAGAGTATTTATTTTTATTAAGATTTTTGTATATAAGGATAAAAATGATTTTTTTGAAATATAATAATTAAAGTGACATAACATACCAAAATAAATAAAAAATTGTTTAAATGTTTTTTTAAAAAATTTAATTTTTTTTTTTTTTTATCAAATGTTATATGATTATCTTTAAATTTTGAACTTAATTTTAAATTGTGAGGGTTTGTGTGTTAAATTTTAAAAAATACATTTTAATTTTTGTTTGTTACTTTTTAAATTTAAAATATTATATTTTTTCCCTTAAATTTTAAATGTGTTTTTATACAGTTAGTTTATTTCAATATTTTACATTTTTGCCCTTAAATTTTATTAATACTCATTATTAATTTCTAATTAATTAATTAAAAATAATTTTATGTGAGAATTTTTAATTAATTATTATAAGGGGTGAAAAAATTAATGAAAATTAATTTAATTAATTCATTTTATCTCACTATAATTATTTTATGGATTCATGGTTAAAATTTCAGGGTTTGAATTTGATAAAAGATTCTGCTATATTATCAAATTTTAATTAACTTTTTTTTGAATTGTTAAAGAAATGTTAGTCATTTTAAAATAAATTTAATTTTTTTTAAAGTTTAGATAATGATTTAAATATTTTTTTTAAATTTTTTGTTTTTATATTTCTCCTTATACATATTTCATATTGAGATTTCTTATTTTGTTTGTTTATGTAAAAATTTTAAATTTTTGTTTCTATATTTCTTTTAAAAAAATATTTCATATCAGTTAACATTTCTTATTTTCTTCTTTTATATAAAAAATTGACTATAGATAAAAATAAATTAAAGAAGTATTTATTTTTGTTAAGATTTTTGTATATAAGGATAAAAATAATTTTATTTGGAGTGTAATAATTAAAATAACTCTGTGAACATATCCAAATAAATAAAAGATCGTTTAAATATTTTTTAAAAAGAGGGACGATAATAAAATAATTTTATATTTTACGGAATTTAATTTTTTTTTAATACCTCTAAATTTTCAACTTAATTTTAAATTTTGAGGGGTTGTGTATTAAATTTTAAAAAATACATTTATTTTTTTTGTTCCTTTCAAATTTTAAAATATTATATATATATATTTTTAATTTTAAAGGTAGTTTTTATATATTTCGTATATTTCAATATTTTACCTGCCCTTAATTTTTATTAATACTCATTATTAATTTCTAATTAATTAATTAAAAATAATTTTTTTGTGAGAATTTTTAATTAATTATAATAAGAAATGAAAAATTAATGAAAATTAATTTAATTATAATTCATTTTATCTAATATTTTATTATTAATACTCACTTTTGATTAATTTCATATTAATTAATTAAAAATAATTTGGTGTGAGAATTTTTTAATTAATTATAATAGTGATTGAAAAATTAATGAAAATTAATTTAATTATAATCCATGTTATCAAATATTTTTTATTAATACTTGATTAATTTCTAATTAATTAATTAAAAATTAATGAAAATTAATTTCATTATAACCAATTTTATCTCATATTTCTTAATTTTTAAAACGAAATATAATTATTTTATGGATATTTTAGTGTTTAAATTTGATAAAAAGATTTTACTAAATTATCTTTAAAATTTTCTTTTTAAAGGAATGGAGACAGACTTTAATTTTACCTAATACTCGATTACAATTCCAACTCAGTTAACTTGTTCTTCATATTCGTACCAACATTTTTCAATAATTTTCGATGACAAATCTAGAAAATAACACTCCAATCGATCTCGAACTTAGACTCTCTCTCCGTCCCCTGTCACCACCGCTCTCTCTCCATCCACCGTCACCACCGCCCTCTCTCCATCCACCGTCGCCACTGCTCCAATTTACAATGACACCAACAACACTCTCACAACAACAATTAAGTATCGACCCAATACCATCGACATCACCCCAACAGGTCGTAATCTCACATCACTCCCCTCAAGCTCCACAATCCAATCAAAGACGCCAAAGAAGTAGACAAAACAACACGCCAATCGAACCACCATATCCATGGTCCACAACCCGTCGAGCCGTAGTCCACGAACTCGCTTACCTCCAAGCAAACCGCATCCTCACAATCACTGGCGACGTCAAATGCAACCAATGCAAACAAAGTTACAACATGGGGTATGATTTGGTGGAGAAATTCAACGAGATAGCGAGTTTTATTGAGAGAAATAGAGATACTCTACATAGTAGAGCTCCCCAATCATGGACAAAACCTACGTTAGCGAGTTGCGTGTTGTGCATGCATGCAAAGTGCGTAGAGCCGGTGATAATCGAGGATGATAACGAACGAATAAATTGGTTATTTTTACTTTTGGGACGATTAATTGGACTTTTAAAACTTAAACATCTCAAATATTTCTGCACCCATACTAATATTCATCAAACCGGGGCTAAGGATCGCCTCGTTTTTCTCACGTATCTTGCTTTGTGTAAACAACTTCAACCCTACAATAGACACTTCTATTACTGATTTTAGGGTTTTGATTATTGAAGAAAGATTTATTTATCTTTTTTTATTATTATTATTTGAGATAAATATAAAAATATAAAAGTTTCTACACCCCTAGTAATTATGCTTTTATCTGTCAAGAATTTATTTGGTTGTTTTAAGTTTTAAATATTACTAGTTTTAAATGTTTTATTGGATAGTACTGAAAATATTTTGAAATTTATGAATGGTTGTTGAAGTGCATTGTCGATATAAGTGATAACTCCTGTGAATCGCGTTAACTATGAGAGAGTGTTACAAGAATGCTCCCTATAGATTCTGTGAAGTATTTGTGAAAAAATCTTGTCCGAAATCAGACTCTTGTAGCCCGATTGGGAGTGGCGGCTACTTCCCCTTCTCTCTAGAACCTTCCTTATTAAGGAAAGAAGATGGAAAATGACCAAAATAACCTTTCTTCCTAATTTTCCATTTTTTTTTTATATTTTTTCTTTGAGTTATAACATATTTCTAAATATTTTTCACTTCTACTATCTCAAAATTCTCGGTTTCTAAGATCTTTAATCAAATCTATTAGGTTTTAAGTTTACCGGTTCTGGTGTTACCCATTATAATTAATTTTATCTAATATTTCTTAATTGAAACGACCCATAATTATTTTATGAATTGTAGTTAGAAATTTTAATGTTTGAATTTGATAAAAGATTTCGCTAAATTATCACATTTTAGTTAACAAACACTATTCTAATTCTTAAAAAAAAAAATAATGATATCATTCAAAAATAAATTTTATTTGGTAAAATTTAGTTACTGATTTATATATTTTCTTTTTAAAATTTTTGTTTTTATATTTTTTTTATCTGGGTTGAGAAGTAAAAATTTGATTAATTTATTTATTTTTATTAAGATTTTTTTTTTGTTTTTTTTAAATACTATAATCAAAATAATTTTGAGTGACATAAAATATTCAAATAAATAAATTAATGAAAAATAATTTAATCAATTTTATTTAATATGGATTCTTGGTTAAGATTTTAGTGTTTGAATTTGATAAAAGATTTTGCTAAATTATCAAATTTTAGTTAACTTGTATTTATTTTTGTTAAGATTTTTGTATATGGGGATAAGAATGGTTTTTTTTAAATATTATAATTAAATAACTTCTCACATAACATATCAAAATAAATAAATTTTATATTTTATTCTAGAATTTTTTTTTTTTTTTTTTTTTTTTATCAAATGTATATTAGTACCTTTAAATTTTGAACTTAATTTTAAATTTTGAGGGGTTGTGTGTTAAATTTTAAAAAATATATTTTAATTTTTTTTGGTTCGCGAATGAATCTTGGTTTCGCAGGAACAACAAAAACAACCATTTCGCTCTTTCCTTTCTTCGGTGCTACCTTTTTCTTTCCAAGGGATGGGGTTGAGATGTATAAAAACCTTTTTTTAGGATACCCAGAACAACCCTTACGTCAATTAAGGATCAAATGTTGTAACCTCATGGATAAGGATAAGGTAATAGAACTGATAGAGAAATTCATAGGCGTAGGTGGGATAAGAGAATTGATAAAGGGAATAGAGATGATGATAGAGATGAAACAGAAGAATTCTGTATGGGTACAACTCTTATTTGAACCAATTGCAAAACAGTTCTTTTTAAATTTTAATTTAATTATAATCCATGTCATATAATATTGTTTATTAATACTCGATTAATTTCTAATTAATTAATTAAAAATTAATGAAAATTAATTATTATAATCAATTTTATCTCATATTTAAGCGAATATAATTATTTTATGGATTCTAAAATTCTAAAATTTGTGTTTAAATTTATAAAGAGGTTTTGTTAAATTATCTTTTATATTTTCTCAGGCTCACAATTTCAACAAACTTAAACTTTCTTTCTTACCAACATTCTCCAATAATTTTCGATGACAAATCTAGAAAATAACACTCCAATCGATCTCGAACTTAGACTCTCTCTCCGTCCATCGTCACCACCGCTCTCTCTCCATCCACCGTCGCCGCTGCTCCAATTACGTCCACAGTCGCCGTCGCCACCTCCCCAATTTACAATGACAACAACAATTAAGTATTGACCCAATACCATCGACATCACCCCAACATGTCGTAATCCCACATCACCCCCCTCAAGCTCCACAATCCAATCAAAGATGTCAAAGAAGTAGACTAAACAACACGCCGATCGAACCACCATATCCATGGTCCACAACCCATCGAGCCGTAGTCCACGAACTCGCTTACCTCCAAGCAAGCCGCATCCTCACAATCACGGGCGACGTCAAATGCAACCAATGCAAACAAAGTTACAACATGGGGTATGATTTGGTGGAGAAATTCAACGAGATAACAAGTTTTATTGAGAGAAATAGAGATATTCTACATAGTAGAGCTCCTCAATCATGGACAAAACCTACGTTAGCGAATTGCGTGTTGTGCATGCATGCAAAGTGCATAGAGCTGGTTATAATCGAGGATGATAACGAATGAATAAATTGATTGTTTTTACTTCTGGGACGATTAATTGGACTTTTGAAACTTGAACATCTCAAATATTTCTACACCCATACTAATATTCATCAAATCGGGGCTAAGGATCGCCTCGTTTTTCTCACGTATCTTGCTTTGTGTAAGCAACTTCAACCCTACAATAAACACTCCTATTACTGTTTTGATTGGAATTTTGGATTACGGTTTTGATTATCGAGGAAAGATTCATTTATTTTTTTATTATTATTATTTGCGATCAATATAAAAATATAAAAGTTTCTCCACCCATATTCGTGCTTGTTTTGTGTACTTAAACTTTAGCCGTCAAAAATTTACTTTTGTTTCAAGTTTTAAATGGTACTGGTTTTAAATGTTTTATTGAAAGGTGCTGAAAATATTTTGAAATTTATGAATGTTGTCGGAGTGCATTGTCGAAGTCTGCGAAAAATTTACCTTTGTTTTAAGTTTTAAATGGTATAGGTTTTAAATGTTTTATTGGATGGTTCTGAAAATATTTTGAAATTTATGAATGTTGTCGGAGTGCATTGTCGATGTCAGTGGTAACTCCTGTGAATCACGTTGACGATGAGAGAGTTTTACAAGAATACTTCCTATAGATTCTGTGAAGTATTTGTGAAAAAATCTCGATCGGAACCAGACTCTCGTAGTAAGATCGTAGCAAGATCGAGAGTGGCGGCTACTTCCCCTTCTATGTAGAACCTTATTTCTCTCTCTTCTCTTTGTCTCTCCCACCTTTCCATTTTTATTTCTTTTCTTATTCCTCCTCTACTAACTCCATATTCCGAGGCAGATAGAAAATGACCGATGGTTGACTTGGACCATTCTTCCTAATTTTCACCATTTTTTTTATATTTTTTAAAATCCTCAATAAAATTTAGAAAGTTCAACGGGAGAGAAAAACTTAGGTTTCAAGTTTCAAGGTTCTAGTCAGAGTTCGGGGTTACAAATTATAAACAATTTTATCTAATATTTCGATATAATTTGGCCACCGTTTGTTCGAATTTTTCCTTATAGTGTGAGGGATCTCCTCCAATTGGTTAAGAGTTCCCCAATGGTCCAAGTGATTGTCGTCGGTTGGCTCGAAGTTTGCTTGATGGCACAAGGGATCGCTACCGGTTGGTTAGAATTTTCCCTTATGGTGTGAGGGATCTCCTTCAATTGGTTAAGAGTTTCCCCGATGGCCCAAGTGATTGTCGCCAGTTGGCTAGAAGTTCGCTCGATGGCGCAAGGGATCGCTATCGATTGGTCCAAAGTTCCCTTTTCGGTGTGAGGGATTGACAACAATTCGTTCAGAGTTTCCCTAATGGGTCGAGTGATTGTCGTCGGTAGGCTCAAACTTCGAACCAACTAGGGTTGCTCGATGGCGCGAGGGATCGCCACCGGTTGGTTCAAAGCTTCTCCTACGAGGTTTGGGGTCGTCACCAATTGGTTCGGAGTTTCCCCGTTAGCTCGAGTGATTGCCACCGGTTGACTCAAAATTTGCTCAATGGCGCGAGAGACCGCCTCCGGTTGGTTCATAGTTTGCTTGATGGAGCAACGGACCGCCAATGATCGGTTCATAGTTTGATCGATGGAGCAAGGGACCGCCACCGGTTGGTTCATATTTTTTATTTTTGTTTGTAATATTAAATATTTTATTTTTTATAATTTCAAATATTTTATTCGTACAAAAATTAGTATTTTTTTTTAATTTTAAATATTTTGTTTATTTTATTTTTTAACTGTAAAAATTAAAAATTTTATTATATTTTGTCTTTTATAATTTCAAATATTTTGTGAAATAGGTGACAGGGACTGCATAGTCACCCTCGGTGACATCTCAACTTTTATATACTTTCGATTGTTCTCTTTTTTATTCTGGTGAATATTTATCTAAAATCGATCGTCTCTTATTGACGTGTAATAATCAATAAAAGTAGGTTATAAACTTACATATCTAACCAATTAAAAAATAATCGACATACGTGTTTTTGAACCAACGACGCACCAAATCAAAATGTTCTCCAATAAGTTACAAATTGGAAATAATGAGAATATTTACCATGTCTAACGAAAATGTTCCTCCAATAAAATATTACAAATTATCGGTGATGCCTACAATTTAATATAAATAATATATTTTCAACACATTTAATTTATAAGTTTATTTCTACTCTTTTTTTTTAATGATATTTAATTTATAAGGGTTTGTTTCTTTATTTTTTTAATTATGTTATTTAATTTAGGAGTATTTTTTTTTAATTATGATATTTAATATATAAATGTTTCTCCCCTTATTTAATATATGAGTGTTTCTCATTTTTTATTTATTTTAAATTGTGATATTTAATTTAGTTTCTACTATTTTTTAATTAGATTTAATTTCTATAATTTTAAACGAGAAAAAATCTAACTTTATTATTTTACTTAAATTTATATGATTAATCGAAGATTTAACCAATTTTATTTATTTATTATTTTAATTAAGTTTATATAATTTTATTTATTATTTTAATTGGGTTTATAGGATTGAAAAAAGATTTAACTATTATAAATTTAGTTATTCGAATTAATAAATTTAATTTAAAATAGATTTTGCTAACTTAAACTGACAACTTAAATTATTATAAATTTAGTAATTTGAACTAATAAATTTAATTTAAAACAAATTTTGCTAACTTAAATTATTTATTTATTTAACATATAATAGTACTTATTCTAGAATAATGGGAAGTTTATCAATTTTATTAAAAAATTTAAACAGAAGAAATACAAATATCAAATTAAATAAAATTAAATTATGACAAATTAAATTATTTATTTATTTTTCTAATAGTTGAAAGTTTTTTAATTTTATTGAAAATTTTAAATGAAGAATACCAATATCAAACTAAAAATAATTTATAACAAAATAGTCTCTTAATCATAAAAGAGTACGGTAAATAAATAAAATAAAAAAAGACCCTAAACTTGTGTAGAACCTAAATTTGTTTGAGATAATTTTTTTGTTTTGGAGGGAGGTCTCACTCTCGATCCAATAATTGTGCCTTGTTGCATATCTTCTTCATTTACATCATCAAAAAACACTCCTGTCGTTGAAAAGGAAAAAAAAAACGTGTCAATATAATATTCAACATTTATTCTTTTTTAATAGAACACATATATACTCAAACATAGTATCGATATCAACATGGACATGCACGAACATTACGATTTAGTTGACATGTTTTAAAGGATGATAAAAAAGACAACTTATCGATATCCATAAAAAATGAAAGTAATGCCCACTGGAGCATAGGTCAACTAATTAATGCATCTCTTGTCGTCGTTGAACTCAAAAGAAAAAACAAATTAAACGGTAACGAAACCGTCGTTGAACTCAAAAGAAAAAACAAATTAAACGGTAACGAAACACACTTAAAGAATCAACAGTATTCTCATTCGATGTTTAACGGTACCATCTCTAATGTGGCATACGTTTAGAAATTTTGTATTCGTGTTATCATATTCGTGTCATATGTCTGTGTGCTAACGTTTACCTATAAACCATATAATAGCAGCCGGGAAAAAAATGGTGGTGAGAATGAGAGTAGTCTTCCTCCAATTGTTAAGATGGTCCTACAACGTTTAGTAAACCATTGTTAATAATTTGATTATTAAAACTTTTAACTCAAAATCAAATAGACCTAACTTCTAAAGAACAAACCTCGAGAACTCCAACAAGAGGTGAAGATGGCACATCTCCAAAAATGTGAATTGCAACGGTAGACATAGCCATGGAAAGCGGCCTTAGACTAGGCCTCACACAATGTAGGCATACAAAGTTTACCGGACCCTGCGATGAAAAAGTAATTAGCTAAAGAATCGATACAAAAATATTAAATATAGACTAAAATATGAGTGGGTTTGATGGAGAGTACACCTTAGAGAGTTCCTCAACAAACTAATACTAAATTACTATCTAATAAACTTTCTTAATTTGACTCTTCATTGAAGTTTACAATTGGCTAGGTTTTTATATACTCCAAAAATCGATCCCCTTATGAATATCGGTGGCCATATCCTTACTAATGTCATGTCAGTTAGGAGATACTTATAGCATAGAACATTATGTTTTTGAAGAATATACCTGTGTTGCAAACAGCAGCAACTCGCCAACTGAGAAAAAAACAAGGAAGGCATACATGTTTTTGAAGCAAAATGCACCAAAGCAAAACGCTGCTCCAATAAACGTTGTACTAGAAAGAAGCTACAATTGAAATTTAAGAATAATTACATTATTCAAATATATCACGACACTGTAAAAATTATTCAACAAATAAATCCTTTCAAATAACAAATAAAATTACCTTAAAAGCATTAGGAATAGTTGTGCCTAGGTAATCTAAAGCATAACCTCCTGTTATTGTTCCAATAATTCCACAAACTACCGTGATGCCTCCAAAAATCATATCTGCACTTTTCTGTAAAAAAAAATGTTTCAATTCAATTATTCATTATTTTTAACCTTTTCAAGTTTATATGGTTCGTCTTAAAAAAAAATAAAAAAAATAAAGAATCATTGAGATAAATAGTTTACCATTTGATAAATGTTATAGCCTGCTTTGGGGCCCCAATATGAGTATGCACCAATCACAAACGTATATACTACAAAACCTGAACAAAATATAATTGAAAATATTTATATCCAAAATATAGATGTTATATGATCCTTACTTGAAAATTCAAAGTATGATAAATTAAATAAAAGACATACCTAAAACATTGACCACAAAAACCTTATCGACCAGAAGTGCTTTCAAATCTTTCAGGAATTGAGGTGAAGAACTGTCATAAGTTATGAAAAAAAAAAAAAAAAATTAAATCATATTCTAGCAAAATACAAATGCAACGTTCTTATAATCTAATTTGAAAATGACATTGATAAGATCTACAATGAGTTGCTTACTTGGAGGAACTCTCCACCCCGTTCTCTGGTAAATCCTTACGAGATGTTCCATCTTTAGTTTTCAAATCTAATTTCATATACAAACAAAAAAAAAAAAAAATTGTTATGACTTGTAAACATGAACATGCACAACATGCACAAGAAAAGCAAGAGACGGAAGCAGAAGATAAGTACCTTTAACTAATGAGGTAGCTGTATCGACAGGTAATGATGCGTTAACCGTCTCCCGAGGAGGAAAACCTACATCCACAAATAGTTTAGTTAGAGGTGGCACAAAAATTATTGTATGATATAAGTTCGATCCTTACCCTTGTATTGGAGAGGCTCGACAACAAAACCAAGAATTGCAAACGGAAACATTAATATTGCCTCGCCCCAAAATGCATAGCGCCAACCTAGACGTTCACCAACCTATCAATTAAAAGTTAAAGTTATTTAACTACACAAATATCTAATTAGGAGTATGATGTAAACTAGTTATCCAAATAAATAAGAACTTACAAATCCACCGTAAAGATAGCCAATTGCATAACCCGTAGGCATGCACATATACAATATTGCTATCCAACCGGTCCTCTGTAGCAAATAAGAAAATGTTTTCAACTATATAGACGATATGCTAAAACATTACTAGTGTATTATTGTGATGAATATGAAATGAACCTTATGAGCGGGTGCATTATCATAAATAAATGGCGCCGCAAGACTTATAAACGATGCCTCACCAACACCCACAATCCTACGAAGAAAAAGCATTGCATTCATGAGAGTCATAAAAAGTTGAAAAGAAAAGATTGAACAGGGGAAAAAATAAAAGAGGTTTACTCACATGCGACAGACAACAATCGACCAGAAATTAAATGAAAAACCACATCCAATTACTGACAAAGTCCAAATAGATAATCCAACACCTATGAGTCGAAATGGATTTATCCTGCAAAATTTAAATTATATTACAAGTCGAACAAATTATACTTAATCATAATCGACAATATGCTCAACAATTATTTAGATTACCTCTTCGACAATGACGCGAATATTGGACAAGCTAGAAGAAGTCCAACCATAAATGCCGAAGATAAAATTCCGTCCTCAAAATTGGTTAACTTAAATTGTCCCCTAATCATAATAATCCATTAAAAACATCTTTAAAAAGATCAACAAATGACAATAAAATATTATCAAATGCACTTCAAATAAATCTTACTCGATCCCGGAACCAGATGTGCACGTGCCATCGGCACCACATGTTTTTGGGATTCCATTCACACCATTGCTTGAAATAACTCCTCTATCCATGTAATTAATTAAATGGATGACACAAAACAGAACAAGTAGTCTATAAAATAAATAAACAGAGATTTAAAGTTAAAAAAAATATAAATGAGTTGAAATCTAAAGAGATTAATCAAACATAGATGACGAAGGATGGAAATTTCAAATATTGCTATCATATTTAAAAACCAAAATACGAGAAAAGTAAGAATAGTACCGCAATGGCGTGAACCAAGATTGGTTGGAACTAACATCGGAGGAAGCAGAAGTAGCCATTAGTTTAAAACACAAAAAAAAAAGTTTGATATCTGAAGACTGTAAAGGGTTTGTGAGTTCAGAAGAGTGCTAAAAGAACTAACGACAGTGTACGATTTGAAGATGAGAGAGCGGAGGAATTACAAGAATAAATAGGGGAAAGTATGATTGATTTCGGCCCGTTCTAAATATTTGATTCATATTTTATTTTTGTAATTTTAAATCTTTGATTCATATTTTATATCTCATAATTTTGATTATGTAATTTCAACCGTTTATATTTTTATTTCGATCCATTTTAAATCTTGATTTTATATTTTGTAATTTTGTAATAAGAATATTTAT